ATATAGAGTTCCGTCCTAACTCAGGGTATCTCTCAACCTTAGATATAGATAATATAGAGTTCCGTCCTAACTCAGGGTATCTCTCATCTAAGATCCTTTTCTTCTTCTTTTCCTCTCTATTCTTCAATACCTTTTCCTCATTTTCCTTTACTTTTAAATTGTTTTTGTTTAATTTAAATTTAACATGTATGTATCGCTACAGAAGGGTCTCTCATTCAAAACAACCAACAATAGTAAGAGAGGCCCTGGCTAAATTAAAATGTAAGAATTGTGCAATTGTAATTGTTGTTTTTTATTAAAATAATCAAATATCTATCTATCTATCTATCTATCTATCTATCTGCCTTTTTTATTTTCTTTATTTCCCCAAAGTCCTTCTATTAGGTTTATAAAGAGTAGTTAAGTTTCAATATAGTTAAAAGGTTGCAAAAGTTGTTTTTCTAAAGTGGCTAGGGGGGGGGGGGTCTTCGATCAGACATTGAAGGGGGTCTCTTATAGTGATTCAATGATGATGATTTCTTCCTAGACACCCACATTGGCCTTTTCAAGAAAAATGAAAAACGGAAATTTACCGTCAAACATAAAAAATATTAAAAATGTTGCCTGGTCAGATTTCATAGCAATTTTTCTAAAAAAACATATGTATATTTTTGCATATACATATGCATCTAAAAAACGTATATTATGTGAACGAAATTTGTTTTTAAAAGTGAAATCAAATTACTACAAATTTAAAAAGTGGTCCTGACTGTTTAGCTTGGGCCAGTTGACATAATGGTAATTGACAAAACTGATTCTTTGGAGTTGTCGTAATACTATGTAACCCTCCATTAATTTATAGTAAGTATTCCAATAAAAATTAATCAATTTTCAGGTTGGAAAACAAGAACATGGCCAGACAAAGTTTACTAAGCAATAAATATAAATAGTTTTCAACTCTAAGAATAAATAAAATAAATAGTAATTTGAAATTACGTGTACAACCCTTTTAATTTTGTTTATTTCATTAAAAATTGTAAAGTATATATTTCTATCTTGATCTCCCCGGCTTATTTAAAGTATAATAGAGTTTTCATCCCCCCGGACAATACAAGCCTTAAACCTTTCAAAACCATCATCTTCAGAGAGTCAAAGGAAAATTATTAAAGAGATTGTACACCAAATTTTAACTGGTTTTTCAAGTTTCATCAAAATATTTTCCTTTAAACAAAATCTAAAACTCAACTATGAATATGGTTGAGGTAAGCTACAATAACAAATAGCTTAAATACTATGTAAGCTTGTAGAATGAGATTGTTTTGAAAATTAATAAATTAATGAAAACAAAACGAAGGTTCAATGTCTCCGTAAATCTTCGAATTGGATAAACACGTAAAATTGTAAAGAAAAAATCAATAAAAATCTTCGAAAATAAAAAATCTGAAGTTTATTATAACGTTTAAAAAACGGAAAAGAGAAGCAAAACTTGTAAAAGTCTGGTAGTGTACCACGAAAAGAAAAAGTTTTCTCTTTTGACAAAAAAAAGAATTATATTTTATGGTTGGATTAACTTTATAGTTTTGATACAGTAGTTTAATGCAGAATATGCGTGTTTATAATTAAACAAAAATCTAAAGTAATAATGTTAAAGAGTTTTAATCAAAATTAAAGTCTCATTTAAGGCTTTGCAATAAGTATTAACATGGCTTTAAACTCACAACTAGGTAGAAATATTGAGGTTAACCATATATTTTTCTCACAATGGGTTAAAAGTGCACGAGCAATCAACTTTAAACATGATAACAGATGGAAACTGTTAAATGAACCAAACTTATTAAAATCGATTCTAATTTCTAATTTATCAGGAACCAAACCCGTTTACTATTTCACACCTTTAATATCCCTATATTCAAAATAAAAGAATTATCAAAAATAAACTTACAGTTAACTTGAAGTGTGATTTTATGCTCCAGTTTTTGTCTCTGACCCAAAGCTCTATTCCAGACTGTACAACGGAATACAGCCCCGTTGTCTTCCTGAAAAATACAGAAAATCCATCAAAAATGAGGAAAAAATCCATCAAAAATGAGGAAAAATCCATCAAAAATGAGGAAAAAATCCACCAAAAAAGGTTCGATCTAAATTCTATTTTTTAATTATTGATCCATGAACACGTATAAAATGAAATTAGAAATTGTTAGCCTTGAGTTTAAAAATTAATTAATTATATTATTTTGTTTAATTATGAATCAGAATCAGCAAAGCATAGAATATTGCAGAATGATCCGATGCATGTCCATCTATGTGGCATCAGTAGACCGAACAAGGTTGATCTGGAAAATTAGACAAAAACCAGGATTTTTTTTATAAAAAGACCGGAAGTAAAAAAAGTAATTTTGGAAATATTACAGCGATCACCAAAAACGTCTGGATTAGGAATTCGTCTTTTAAACTTAAGTTATGACTTTAAATAATCCAATGAACATGAGACACATGCAGTGTGCAATGTAATTTGTAAACAGACCCATTTAACTTCATAATTTCTTTTAATAAATTACTATCATAAAACTATTTGCTTTATAACAACATCAAATGCTGTACAGTATTCCTTTAATGTCGTCTTCTACAGTTTTCTCTGGTTATCACTGTGTTCGATGAAAATGATAAATCAAACTAATCTGAATATTTTTATTTACAAAAATAAGTATTGCTTGAACAGATACAAAGAAGGTTTGTAGGCATACATTTTAAATAGAAAAAAGTAGGTAGTACACCATTTAGAGAAGAAACAAAATAGTCCCTGAAAACTAACCTTTTGAGGTAGAATTGTTAGAATGCTAAGACTTGGATCCTCTCTTGTTGATCCTAGGATCATAGTGGATTCTAGTAGTTGGGAGTCACCTTCACGATACCATCTCAACTTAACAATTTAGGGATTAATAATCCCTTTATTTAACTAAATGATATGACTTATAAGGTTTCCATTAAGATCATTTGTTACTGTGAATAAAGTTTTATGTTAAAAATGATTTTATCAAAAATCATTTCTTTGGAAGATAGGGACACTAGACACAAGACATTAGACAATAGACAATAAACGCTGGACACTAGATAAACACAAGACATTCGACAATAGACAATTAAGGATGGACACTTCTCCCTTAGCACGTAACATTAAATAAATATCAGTTATGTCTATTCCAAGTATAGAATTTATTTCACTATTCTGAAAAATCTGCTAAACTGGAAATTCTATTATTCGTCCGCGGTGCTTTATAATTTAGCAATAAGAAAAATTAAGAAAAATATAGAATTATTTTTAAAATACTCAAATTATTGGTCTAAAAAGAATCAAGAACGAAATCAAATTTTCTTTTCATTTTATCTTAATTAGATTCCCACCCGGGGAATACAAGTTGATGGGATTATATGGAAAGTGAATGGAGTGGAAATGAACGGGTGGGTCGGAATGAATGTTGATGGGATTATATGGAAAGAGGATGGAGTGGAAGTGAACGGGTGGGTCGGAATGAATGTTGATGGGATTATATGGAAAGAGGATGGAGTGGAAGTGAANATTATCTAATAAAAACAAGATTTTAAAGAAATGAAGGTTTATATAAATACATAAAAATATTAATATTTGATATTATTTTTTTGAAAAGAATTTTAAATTCATAAAAATTAGATCTTTTCTGAGTCCAAGATTTGAATATATGGTGAAAATTTATCTCAAGACTAAGCTATAGCACTAGGATCTGGACAACTGTCTGGAAGAAAAAGGGACTGTAAGCATAATGTCAAGTGACCCTCCATGCAAAGACGGTAATTCACATCACTGCCTTTTAAAGCTTTGTCTGATCAAGTATGAGCGAGGTATCCTTATTTAAAGTTTTTAAAACTGAAATTTTTTAATGTGGTTTCTTTAGAAAGGTGACTTGCGCATTCTTCTTCAGAAAAACATATAGGAATAATCAAAATTCAAAACCAAATCTAGAAAAAACCAAGATAATTGAAAAGATAAAGGCTTAAAGGGTACCGTTGTGAATTAGGCATTGACATCTTTGAAATTATTCATTAAACGTTAAAACTAAGAGAAACTGTTACTAGGTCAAGTGGCACGAAGGGTTCTGTTTTACCTGGGGCGGGGGTGAGCCCCCTACACTTGAACAGGTTAGGTTGACCGGAGTTCCCTCCGTAGAGACCGGAGTCGAAGGGATTACTCTGGGAGGAGATGGTTTCAGTAACACAGTCAAACTAAGAGAAGAAGAAGTATACAGGGAGAACCAGAAAACAGTGGAAATCACAGGCATTAAGTAAAGAATTAGATATGAAAAATTTATGCAACATTACTGCTAGGACTTGTTGATCTTGTAGCTCCTTTAGTTTTTATTTTATGCAATAGCATACATATGAACATTTTTATTTTCAAAAAAATTAGTTATGATTGAAGAAATATAAGTTTCCAATGTTTACTTTAGTTCAACGTGTGACTGTGATATGCATGGTTTATAAAGGTGAACAATCGTTTTAAATATTTTGAAATTTAACCTGATTTTCTTGATGTGAAGAAGAGTCCCTGTTCCACCTTGTTTAACCATACACTTGAAGTTCCCGTTATCCCTGTCATAGGTTGTATTCTCTATCTTTAGATCATACCGTCCTAACTCAGGGTACTTCTCAACCCTAGATATAGATAATATAGAGTTCCGTCCTAACTCAGGGTACTTCTCAACCCTAGATGTAGATAATATAGAGATCCGTCCTATCTCAGGGTACTTCTCAACCCTAGATATAGATAATATAGAGTTCCGTCCTAACTCAGGGTATCTCTCAACCTTAGATATAGATAATATAGAGTTCCGTCCTAACTCAGGGTATCTCTCAACCTTAGATATAGATAATATAGAGTTCCGTCCTAACTCAGGGTATCTCTCAACCTTAGATATAGATAATATTTAGTTCAGTCCTAACTCAGGGTATCTCTCAACCCTAGATATAGATAATATTGAGTTCCGTCCTAACTCAGGGTATCTCTCAACCTTAGATATAGATAATATAGAGTTCCGTCCTAACTCTGGGTATCTCTCAACCTTAGATATAGATAATATTTAATTCCGTCCTAACTCTGGGTACCTCTCAACCCTAGATATAGATAATATAGAGTTCAATTCTAACTCAGCCATAAATGAAGTTATATTCAAGATCATCCCTAATAACGTCACAAAGTTTACAGTTTACAAATACACGCTAAATACTCAAAAAATCTCTCTCTCTGTGTATTCAAAACTTAATAAATTTGAGTTCAGCATAGGCGTCTCTTGATTAAAATTGAATTCCAAATCAAATCAGTTCTGAAAACTGAACATTTGTTATTTGCAGCAAACTTTTATATTTTGATTATTTGTTTTATTTGTTTAATGTACTGTTTATTTTCCTTTAGTGATTATTGGTGTGAAGTTAACATGTTGTTTGCAAGTTTGTTGACGAGGGTTCTTGTTGTTTGTTTGTCAGATATTGTGTTTGTATGTGTTGTGTTGTGTTGTATGTTTTGCTATGTATTAGAACGCCAGGGAAAACTTTAACTTCCTATCTCAATATCAGTTTATCTAAACAGAAATAGATTCAAACCCGCCTCTCAATTTCTAAAGTGAAACATAGGGGTTGATAGAAAACGCAAAGAGAAGGGGGTATATTGTGTTGACATCCTCCCCCTTCCCTCCATCCTCATAAAAAAAAAACTATTCTTTAACACCCCCTCCACCCCGGCCCCCCCATGCAGCGAGGTTTTGCAAATAGCGTTCACAGATTTTTCATAAATGAAAATTCTCAAAATGTCACGTTTAGTTGTTCTTTATTGTTATTTTTTCTTTGCCAGAAAGAGGTTGTAGTTATAATGTTAAGTGATCGACCTTTCATTTAAAAGAGGTGCATTCCCAATTCACAACGGTACCCTTCAAACCTTTATCTGATCAATAATGTTGTAGATATCGTCGTTATTTAGCTTGACCAGTGCTCAATTCTGAGGGATGTACGCAAGATAACTTATCAGAGAAACAAAATTGAAAATAATAATCTTGCATCGGACATGCCACTCTTCAAATAGAGTGTCATTTGAAATAAAGTTTACAGTCACTTTATTTTTTAAAATTTAAAATTAGTTTAGTGGATCAAAGTTTAAAGTACAAACAGTTTTAGTTAAAAGAATCTTGTATTTCTGTTTAGACAGGAAACTCAATTTTTACCTATTCAAACTCTTCCTGCGAATATTGACATATTTCCTGATGTCTGCCAGGAATATTATTAAAATAGGGAAAAGCATACTTCTACACTTCTGTCTATTGTTACATTTGCTTGTTTATTTTAGGAGAAAAAGGCAGGTTTGATAATGTTTACCTGACTAGATTTGGGTATGTATGTTAAAGTATTCAGGCTTGACTTTTTTAGACAGTAAACCGACGATATCTTACTCATTTATTTTCATAGATAAAGACTGAAAGGGTGCCTTTGTGAATCTAATATGACACTCAACAAATGGAAAGTTACTTGAAATAACGTTTATATTCCCTCTAATGAGGACCAGTGTATAAGTTAGCAGTGCTAAAAAAGTGGTATTTAAATTATTTATGTTTTGTTCATTGGAACCAATAAAACTTTGGAATATGAAGACGACAGTTAGACACACTTTTGCGTGGTTAAGATTGTTTTAATTGATTGATTAATATTTTTTACCATACTTAGCTTAAATTTCATCTGTGAAAAAATATACAGTTTTAAATTGCTGTGTTTATGTTTATTAAACTATTTTAAATTAAAACCGTCGTCTTATTTCTCCATAGTTGCATTGCCCCCCTCCCCCTTCCCCCACATGTATATTTATTAGTGTACCGGAAATACAAAATATTCCGCTGTTGTTGAACCAACTTGGGTAAAAATATTCTAAATTTCCGTTTTCAATATCGAAAGAAATCTATTCTATACAGGATTCATATATTCTTAGATTTTTCAGAGTTTCACTTGAATTGAGATATTCATAGAAGTGTAAAGATGTTTTGATGTCAGTGCTAAGGATGGGGGGGGGGGAGTGGCCCCCTTGCTACGTTATGGTGTCATGTTCCTATTCTTATATCAAACAGAAGTATCAATGTGTATCTACTATCTATATATATTATATATTCTTTAAATGAATTGAATCGAACTTCCTTGAAAGTTCAGCAAAGCATGAAATAGCAAAAATCTGGTTTCAACTACACAATCTTTCTGTGTACAGGGCGTGTCAAAATAATGTACGAGAATTTTGCTTAAATCCCTCTTACAGGTTGTTACAACGTTTACTACTGAATTGGACAGGTTTGTCAATTTCTTTGGGTTTATTGTAAGATTATTTGACTCTGGTTGCATTGCACTGTTGCACATCAACTTTTTCCCCCAATTTATCAGAAAAATTGTCCCCTAAGAACCCCCCCTCCTAACCCACCCCTATGAACCGCCAATGATTCCGTCATACCTTTCACATTTGCCTTTGTCTTAACAAGTTCTCTAAACTAAAGTGTTAATTTAAGTTTTTCCAAATAAAATTAAACAATTTTAAAATTAAATTTCACATTTATAATTTCACATTCATCATGGTTCCAATAAAAAGTTTCACTTGAGGAGTCAATGCATTTTAATGATGCAAATAATAAGCATGTTCTCAAAATATGATAAAATATTCATCAATTCAGAAAATACATTTTAGATTCAGGTTTATACCGAGAATTCTATAGTTATATAGAGATACTGCTAAGAAAGAGAGAATAAACATTTTTAACGAAAAAAAGAAATATTTTGAAAAAAATGTCAGGGGGGGGTAGGGAGTCGTTATTACAAAAAAATTAATTAAAGAAGGAAAGAGCTAGAAAAAAGTGAATATAGTTTAACCAGCAATAATTTGATACTTTCCAACATGCACAACTTTAATGAGAAAATAACACATTTTGGTTTTTAACTTTAGCTGAAACTAAGGTGTTTTTACACATGGGGGGTTATGAAATTAAAACTTGTCAACGTTAAATGCAAGATATTTAAGATATTTTAAATAGTTTTCAAACAAGTCCCAATCCTACTCTTTCTCCAAACACAAAGATAGACACTAGGTCGACTCATCTCACCAAATCTCGTTTTTAAGAGGAAGTGGGGTTCATACAATACACATAATGCAGGGGTTGTTTTCAATTATCAAATATTAAATGATCATAGGGAAAGACAGATATTTCCCCCCTAAAATGTAAACAAAAAATAAAAAACAAAGGAAGGACTGAAAAATTAATTTTCAGAATACGTTTACATTTGACCCCAAGTTTTCTAAAATTGTTCAGTTTTGCACAGCTTGTCTGTTGAACTCAGTACACTGAACCTCTATCAATATATACTCTGTGTCTTACCTCACCCATGATTACATACTTTTCTTCTAAACATATATGGCCAGGAGCTAGTCCTGATTGAAGTATATTGAACGATTGCTAAAATATTTGAGTTGGAATTTTAAATTATCAAAAACATAAAGCATTACCTTTTTATGTTAATTATTACTCTATAATTAATTAATTAATTAATAATTAATCAATCAATTAATAAAAGGAAGAGTTAAAGAGGTATAATGTCAAATTTACAGATATCTTATCACAACAATTGCCAACGTATAATCATAGAGAATAGAATATATATTAGAGGGGAATTTACTTGAAAAAAGTGTAAAACGGCCATTTTGTTGTACAATTCCATACTGCAGGTGTACTTAACATATTTATGCTATATAACCTTTTGGGCCCTGCAATATAGAAAATCTAAAATTATTGTTAAAAGAAAACCAAATTATGAAATAGGCTGGTTTCATAATTGACCAATGATCATTTCACATAGACTCTATGCCTTCCACTTTACAAACGATGATTTTCCGTTATAACTATAAATCAAATGATGTTTTTTATTCACTAATTCATTATAAAGTTTATTTAACAGTTTAAAAAATTAGAAATTGAAATGGATAGTCTAGGGAACATACTGTATTAATGTACTCTACTGCATATAATTTGTGAACATTTACATGATTTGTACACTTTGAACTCCCTTTCAGACTGAAAGGGACTGAAAAACTTCATACCGAGAGATTCTTTTCGTCGTTAACGATCGTTAACAAAACGACGAATTTTATAAAAACGATCGTTTTGAAAAACGATCGTTTTTAAAAACGAGCGTTTTGAAAAACGATCATCTCGTTTTCGATTTTTCGTCGTCGTTATCATAACGAAACGATCGTTTTTCTGAAAAATGAAAACGTTAACATCCCTAGATACAAGCATATACAATTTTTATAATGCAAACGCAATCCTAGATAAAGAAGTAATATAGATTGATGATTTTTAGCTTCACAGAAAATTGATTACGTTTTGCTGATTTATAGATGACACTCTGAATTATAATTTACAGGAACAAGCTATAAACTCTATTCTCTTGTAAAAACTTATCAAGACTTGAATCTTAAAATGACCTAGAGGTGCTACAGTATAAGTTTCCATTCTGTGAACAGTCTCTTTCTTTACCTGTAATTTGAATCTAGTGATGTGCTCCCTATCGCTGCATTATCACTCCCATCCCTGTTATTCCTGATCCAGTAGAGTGTCACCTCAGTCCTAGCTGCTACTGGGTCAAACCTACAGAAAAACATCTATTAAAGGGACTCTTAACGTGATTTAAATTAAAGTGTGTCATGTCCGATTTATAACGGTACCCTTGGCACCTTGGTCTGGTCATCGATGACATAGAGTTCCTCTTTTTTAGAATGGAAATTGCGTGTTTACTGGCAGCATAGAGTGTACACTGTACATTGTACATTGTACAGTGGAAACTCTAACCTCTTGTTTACCAGAGTTCGAATCGTTCCATCTGTACTTTTTGCGTCTCCGGCTGTGGCCGTCCGAAGTACGGTGAAACACGAGGGGGGAGTCATTAAATTACGTTGTTTCTTTCATTTTTCTTTTCCTTCACTTTTTCTGTTTGAAAGTGTAATTTATGTTAATGATTATTGAAAGCTATAAATTGCGTTGTTTAATATAAAATGTGTAGAGTATATATATATATAGAGTGTATTTACTAAAATACTAAATAAATTGGGTTTATTAGAAAATAAATCTAAAAACATGTAATAAATCAGTATAATGGGTGTCGAGGGTAAACTCAACCCAATCAATCAAGACATTTTCCCAATTTTCCCAAAAATAAGACATATTTTTCGCTTCACAAACAAAACTTTTTTAAAGTAAAAGTAAAATTATGAAGTTTCTAATTAAAGGACTGATTATATATTCGACTCAAACTCTAATTAATATATCTCTGTTATTCTAACTTTAAAAATAAGAATTATAGAATGTGTAATTATCTGACTCGCCTCAAACTCCAATTTTATAATCCTTATATGTTTACAACCTGATGTCGTTAATATTTAACGTAAATCAATTTGTTTGAAGTTTCAATGATTTTAACAAGTAGGCAGGAAATAATTAGAGTTTAAGGCAAGTTATCAGTTCCCTTACAACAAATATCAATGATTTAATAATGATCATAAAGTTATCATTCGACACTACTGTTATATACATATTGAAATTAGTTCAACCTCTTGGATTAATCAGATTCTATCTAACTATCTATCTATGGTATCCCTGGAGCCTAACTTTAAACTTTAATTTATTATACATCAAAGATACAACTGGTTTATATTGGTTTGTGTAAACAAGGATAATTTTGACTTTAAGAAAATTCTTCATTATCAACTTGAAGGGACTGTAGATGGGATTTACAGTGACCCCATCCGTTTATTTTTATTATTAAAGGGTACTTTGTTGTGAATCAGACATGACTTTTTCATGTATGGAGGGTTACTCGAATTTACGTTCACAATCCCTTTAAACGAAACAAAAATTGGCAAATACGTGGTTTGGAAAACGAATAAATTGAATAAGTTTTATCTAAGAAAAATCGAATTCTAAGAATTAAGCCTCTAAATGAACCAACAATAATGATTTGTTTTCAGGAAATATCACTTTTGCATTTATCTGTTTTTCAATCCTCATAATTCCGGGAATTAATAAGTAAATATATGACAACTCAATTTTCTTTTATTTAAATATTAATAAGAATAAGTTTAAAAATGGGTCGAATAAAAAACATAATTGATAAAATCATAATAACTATGTTTTTTCTCAATTTTCTTCTGAATCTATATAAGTTTTTTTTCATCGGAACTCCAGTTATTTATCGATATCTAAATTTTGGTTCGGAAATACAACTTCCTACCTACCTACCTACCTACCTACCTACCTACCTACCTACCTACCTACCTACCTACCTACTTACCTACCTACCTACTTACCTACCTACCTGCCTATCTACCTTCCTACCTACCTACCTATATACCTACCTACCTACCTACCTACCTACTTACTTATCTATCTATCTTCCTACATACCTACCTACTTAGCTAACTAGTTAGCTAAGCTAGTAACTAGCTAACTGACAAACGAGATATATATATACATAAAATGTATATATAAATTGTATGATATATATTAATATAAACTAATAAAGGCAAACTATGGTTTCACGGTATAAACACTGTTATCCTTCACGCGGCATGAATTCTAGAAGGGGGGTGTTGCCCCCCCCCCCCCAGCCCAGTTTGCTTGGGGGAGGGCAGATTTAGAGAGGGGTTGTGAGATCAAGGGCCGGAAAATCAGAGTATATGTATTTTGACCTCGAAACCCTTTTTTTCGCAATATTGAATTTAAATAGTCATAACAATATATCTGGAGCACATCAATAGTTTAAACACAACTGTAAACACAGTTTGAAAGGGTGTGACCGTGTGTTCTTGAATTTTGAAGAACAATTGGAAATTCGATTTAGAGAGTGTTAAAGGATCCAAATACAACGAAAAAAAAATTTGCCTCAGTAAAGGCTTCAGGGTTTTGATACGTAGATGTAGAGGTTCGACACTAAAATCATATAGATAAAAATCCCTTTTATCATTCACCTATTGAAGACTCAAATTAAGTATTTTTTCTAATTATACCATTCAATTCCCTCCCGTTTTAAATTTGACACTTAACAAACACCTCACACCTGACAAATTCTTACGAGATATATTTTTTCCGCCCTCCATTATACTTCTTCTTAATTTTAGTTTTAGCATTTTTAATTGTATCTTTTCAAGATATAATATTACCGCCCATCATTATACGTTTGTTTTAATTTTTATATTTTTTTCCATTTTTAATGTCATTAATATTGCAAAAAAATTCCAACTTTTTAAACCATTGAAATACGCTTTTTAAACCTTCTTAATACTTTCTATCTATTTCTAATTGCAAAATAATTTCTATTTCCGTTTTTAATTACCACTATTCTTAACAAACTATAGTGTGTTTCCTACAACAAATAATAATAAACAACTGGACAAATAAAAATGTTCCAAGACGTAATAATGGTTTCCATCGAACAAAAGATTAATATATTTCTAATCCAGAAATGTTTTCGAACCAAGCTTCCGCAACGATTATTTTGAAAGAAGTGGATTAACTGATTACTCGCCTTAAACTATATTTTTCTAATCCCTTTATCATTGCAACCTTATGTCGTAGACTTTTGATCATTTAAACAATGCATTTTTTTAAGCAGTCTAAATTTTTAAATATCAATTTGTTTCCGCTGTGTTTCAAAGAATAAGTTAAAAGAAAAGTTTAAGATGAATAGTCTTTATTGTTTTGATCGTAAATAGTTCTATGAACTTTAAACACAGCTATTTTGCAGTTTAAACTTTATACTTTCAAACGATTGATAGATCTATTTGCATTATAAAAACATTAAAAAACAAAATACTGATTAAATGTCGTCTTTCTATTCCACAATTTTATAGATCTCACTGTATACCTGCATTGTAAAGTAACTTCTTCCCCTTCAAGCACATCTAAACTTTCACGCTCTGTCCCTTCAACAAATCCTGAAAAAAAACGATAAAGGAACTTTAAGTGTAATGTTTAAGTGACCCTCCATGCAAAGATGGCAATACCCAATTCACAACGGTACCCTTGAAATCTGTATCTGATCAATAATGTGGAAGAAATTATCTGTTCTAGGTTTTCTTTGTGTTTATTTCTGATAATTCAAATATGAATAAATCATTTTTGTAGAGAAGCCACATTTCAAAATAAATAGTTTTTAAAACAATAAACATTCATATTTAATTCAATCTTGATAAGGCAAAGCTTTAAAGGATACCATTGTGAATCGAGATTAACAATGGTATCCTAATTTGGTGAACAGTGATCGGGTTTTGCCATTTTTGCTTTGGGATTTGACATGAATGTGGTGTTTGGTTGCCCACAAAAGAAAATCCGCTAAGAGAACGTTAACAATCTACGATTTTTTTATGTTGTGCGAAAAAATGGCGGAAATGTTAGCACTGATTTTCATTAAATATATTTTTCACACATTTCTAGAGCATTTCTTTGATCTAAAATTGCTTGCACCAAATATTTACCCAAGACCCCCCCCCCCAAAACAAACACACTTTTCCTAGTTCAACTTTTACATTACAGCAATGAAGTAAGAAAATGAACTTTTTAAAGTTTAAAAAGACATTTAAAATTGAAAAAGTTATTTCTGGAGCAAAGTTCAACTTAATTTTTTTAAGAGAAAGAGAATAATTTGCTTTAACCATGTTTTTAAACATTTACAGAATTTTTTCTGAAACATTTTTTGGGAATGCTAAACTCTCAATTTTTCAATCTTCAATCTTCAATCATTATCATATTATCAGAAGAAGAAAAAGTTCTGATAGATAATCCTGCATTTTGTAAAATTTTGTAGTTTAAAGCAGGGGTGAGTTTTTTCAAATAATAACGATAAACTAAATAAACGAGAATTTGAATTTTTCATCCAGATTGAAAACTAGACAAAGGGAGGGAGGATATTTTTGATAACATTTTTGTATACTAATTCTAGAATAAACAAAACCTTGAACCCTTCTCCAGAGCTCGCAACTTAAAACAGGAAATTGTGCGGAACCCAGAATCAAAAACCGGGTTTTGTGAATTTTCAACGACAATTTTGAAGATACCAATATTTTGACTGAGAAATAGTTTTCATATTTTTATTATAATTGACAGTTATTACATTGTATCAATGAATATACTCCGAAATGAAAATTTGGAAGTTTCGTTTAACGATATTTTTTTTAAGTTACCGGCTCTTAATTAAATATGCACACCAAACCATCAACTTTATAAAATACAAACAAATAATTTAGGGATTTTAAGGCTATCTCACCTCCGTTGTGAATCAGACATGTCACTCATTATAGTGGAGAGTAACATAAAATTGCATCTATAATTCCCTGCATGGAACATTTGTTGCAAATATGGATTTTTGAAAGCTATTTTTCGTATCGATAAATTTGCACAAATATGATAAAAATAGATTAACAATTTAACATAGCAAGAAGCACGATTCATTGTGAATTTTTAGTTTAAACCTACTTCAACAAAAATCGGTATGTTCTCTGTAAAAACATGTAATCTATGGTCAGTGGTCACAATCTAATGTTTTTATGACAGAAACTGTATTTATTTTAACAAATCGTTCCAGGTCTCAAAAAATACTTTATTTTATATAATACGTATTTTTTTGAAAAAATAATTAAATGACACCATATTTTCGTGTAAAAAAATGTAAAAAAGGGTATGGGGGGGGGGGTTATGAAATAAATCTATTAAAATCTGGAAAGATAAAATCTTATGGAATTGGATTCATTGAAGATTATTCGGAAAAAGGAATATTTGGAACCGGCAAAATTCTTTGAATTGATAATTTCGTGTTATGCAAGCTAGAGGAGCTGAATAACAATATTCACGGGATAATGATAGTTCTATGAAATCTACTTCCAAGTCTATGAACTCCCCTCAGTCAGAAACTGTTTAATTAATTTCATTTTAGTTTCTTCTAGAACTTCTAGAGTTCTTCAAGTAAATTAACACAGTATTAGGAAGAAAATTATTTTTAAATTGCTTGTAAGGTTGAGAGAAAATACAAAATAAAACCAATTAAATGTTAAATGATTTTTTACCTTTTTCACTCAACAAATAGAAAAGTATAAGCCTAGACAGGAACTCCATTATTAATTGTGATTTATTCGTTTTTCTATCTCACATAGTTTTTAATCTCACTTTATTTGATTACTGATTCACATTAAATATTAAACTGATGAAGTTAATAACACTTCTGTCCTGGCATGTCACTCGCACCAGTACCAATGGTCAACTGTTAACTAACCGAACCGATTGAAAAGCCGGTGTACTCACGCTTTTCTCGATTTCCCGCATTTCTTTCCGCGTATTTCTGGCGGATTCGTCCGACGGACCGGTACAAGTAGAACCCAGACGGGGAAGCCACGGTTAGAGGTCGTGACGGTACAGAAGCATAGTTGCATTTGTATGTACATTATATAAGCATAATTAAGAGCTGCAGGGACGGACGGAAATTAGGTGAGAATTACGGGGAAGCCCCTCCCCCCTCCCAATTTCTCACACCTTTCTTCAGAATTACCTGTGGAATCCCCCCATTCCTCGTATTTAACCCATTTCCCCAATTTTATATGTTCCTTTTAAATAAGAAATAGTTTTGTGGTTTGATTTTAGAGGAAAATTTAAGCTAGGAAAATTTGGGGCTCAAAACTCTAAACCTTTACTTATTTAGGATTCTAATAATATCTGAAGAATATAAATAACTTTCTCAATATACATATGTCTTTAGATGGATATATGTTGTTCTTTACCACCATTATTCGTATTAGAATGAAATCTTTATGTAATGTTGTAGGGATGACTTAGATATATATTTAATATTTATATCTATCTGGTAGACGAGTATATCTATCTGATAGACGAGTATATCTATCCATGAGTCCATCTATCCATATATATATATCTGTATATGGAGTAGATACTGACCATATTTTGGTCTGATTTAGAAATCTGGAGTAACGAGGCAAAAAGCGGGGGGGAAATTTATGAGAGTGTGGGCTGCACCCAACTTTTAATTCTTTAGTAACCAAACCACCCAACCCTTAATAAACCCTTTTTACCCAACATTTTATACACCCCCCCCCCCCCGTCTCTCCTTCTGCCCTCCCTCCCCCCATTACCCGACCCAGCACGTTGTAATGAAATTAAGTAGAGAAGAAATGTTTAAATCTTCATAATTCTAATTTGAGTTTTCAACTAGAATTATGTAAAAAAAATCTAAATCCTTTCTATTGGAGATGGGCATTGTTTTCGTTTTCGAAATATTTCAAAAAACAAACGTATTTTTTCGCAAACGATGGGGTATTTCAGAAAAATTAGCGAACAATGAACAGACGAATTGGATCGTTTAAAGCTAATAACGAACTATGAACGATCGTTCGCATTTTATTGATCAGTCAGACCAATAAAGTATGATTTCTAAATCGAGCGTTTAGAAACTTAATTGTTCACACAAATAAGTAAAAGTTGTTTGAAAATATTTGTTTAAAACCTCAGCGTAAACCGACCTCATCTGGTGACATGGAAACGGATCAAAAATTATTTTTGAGGCATTTCCGTTTTTTTTAGAAATTCGAGGAAATCCCTCAATAGTTCAGAATTGTTGAGGGATTTCCGAATATTTTGTATCCGATTCCCAATATTTAGAGTTAAATGGTTTCCTCTTTTTTTTGATAAATTTCCTCATATTTTTAGGTCCGTTTCCTCATATTTTTGATCCGTTTCCGCTTTTTTCAAAAACTTTAAAAATCTCAATTTGTTGATCGGTTTCCTCAAATTTTTGGTCCGTTTCCTGATATTTTTGATCCGTTTCCTGATATTTTTGATCCGTTTCCGCTTTTTTCAAAAACTTTAAAAATCTCAATTTGTTGATCGGTTTCCTCAAATTTTTGGTCCGTTTCCTGATATTTTTGATCCGTTTCCTGATATTTTTGATCCGTTTCCGCTTTTTTCCAAAACTTTAAAATTGATCCGTTTTCTCATATTTTTGATCCGTTTCCTCAAATTTTTGATCCGTTTCCTCATATTTTTGATCCGTTTCCGCTTTTTTCAAAAACTTAAAAAATCTCGTTTTGTTGATCGGTTTCCTCAAATTTGAGGTCCGTTTCCGCTTTTTTTTGATCCGTTTCCACTTTTTTAAAAACTTTAAAAATCTCAATTTGTTGATTGGTTTCCTCAAATTTTTGGTCCATTTCCTCATACTTTACTCCGAACTCAATCTGAAGATGATACTTTACGCTGAACTGGATCTGAAGAAGATCTCACATTCATATTTACTTGTCCCCAAGAAGGAGTAAGAATTACTTTAAATGTACATTACAACGTAAAAATTGACGAAAATTAATCTGTGATAAAAAACAACTGTGATTTTTGGACCAAATAAAACCTGAATAAAAGCAAAATCCCATTCTATTCAATACTTCTACTTTTTATGTGTGCAGGTACCAACAAGTTCTACAACTTTTTACTTCAATTGTGTGTTCTTCAACTTGGTGGTTAACGTGGGAACCCTTCCATTAGCAGAGCTGCCATTAGCCCTGTGGAAAGACTTCCAGAGCCTTTTGATATGCAGAATTGCTTCCATTCCCCCACAAAACCATCTCCGTGCCTCATGCATTTTTAATTCTGCTTACTGTGTTTATTTTTCGCTTATTTCTATGGCTGAACCAAGCAAAATCAAAATATACCTTATAGTAAACTTCACAAAAGTTTAGAGAATCGATTAATCTACAAAGTTGAAATATTAATTTATTCAATTGATCTTAACTTGTTTAAAAGACATAAATAGCAGTCTTAAGAAACAGTTTTCCTGTTGTAAAATTTGGGATCAAAATGAAGGCATGGAGACAGAATGGCAAAGGCTTAAAGACAGTTTACGGGGATCGGAAGGTATTGCGTGCATCAGGAGGCTCAGGAGGTCTCTCTTTTCACAAGTTTTTTTAAAGTTTGATCTAAACCCAAGAATGGATCAAAAACGGCTCAGCTACATTCTGCCTAGTCACAATTTGCCTAGTCACATTTTGCCTAGTCACATTTTGCCTAGTTCACTTTTGCCTAGGTAACATTTCGCCTATATAGGTAACTTTTTGCCTAGTTCAAGTTTGCCTAGTAACATTTTGCCTAGGGTAACATTTTGCCTAGGTAACTCAAGAGCATGTTTTTTGCCTAGTCAATAATTTTTTATAAAAAACAAATTTTGTCAAGAATTAAACATTTTTTTAAAGTTTAACCAGATAAATTTTAATGAATTAAAATTAATGAATTGAATTGTATTCTGTACAGCAATTTTAACATTCCTGTCACTCTACAAAAGATAAAATATGGTTATTAACGGATCAAAAATTTGAGGAAACCGATCCAAAATATGAGGAAACAGATCAGTTTTAAAGTTTTTGAAAATAGAGGAAACGGATCAAAAAAATGAGGAAACGGACCAAAAATATTGGGAATCCCCTCAAAAATATTGGGAAATCCCTCTAAAATATTTGAATAAAATAAAGGGGAAACGGATATACAATTCTGGGAAATCGATCAAAAAAAGAGGAAACTCCTCAATATTTGAATTTAGAGGGATTTCCGAAAAAATTGAAGAAATCGCGGAAATGCCTCAAAAAAACCGGTTTTTGAGGGGTTTCCGCGTATTTTTGATCCGTTTCCGTGTTGAGTCGTTTCCATGTTGAGGCGTTTCCATGTCACCCCTCATCTAACCTAACCTGCTGCTGAACGAACGTTTCATTAAAAAAAGAACGAAATAAATGAAAAATGATTGATAAGTCAGAAACAAATTAAAAATTGTACTGAACGTATTAAGATAAAACGTGCCCATCTCTACTTATTTAGACCTACATTTTTTAGTAGAAAACAAGCCCGGCCTTCAAACCTTTGTTTACAATCTGTGTTATTGTTTTAATAAAAACTAGTTTATTTTACCTGATAATATCATATATAGGTTTTGTTATTGTTTTAATAAAAACTAGTTTATTTTACCTGATAATATCATATATAGGTTTTGTTATTGTTTTAATAAAAACTAGTTTATTTTACCTGATAATATCATATATAGGTTTTGTTATTGTTTTAATAAAAACTAGTTTATTTTACCTAATAATATCATATATAGGTTTTCCCTGTCTCTTCGTCTGTGCGTGCAATGTTGTAAAACAAGGAAAGTTTATTGCAGTTACGCAAAGACTTGGTTAATTAAAGATAGCGCATCAGAAAATCTACGCAAATTTGACGCATTTTCTGGGGTACGTAACAAATGTCGTCTTCTCCAGAAATGCTGACGTTTCATAATGTTGTCTTTTGTAATTGTAAGGAATTAAATAGTTATTTAAAAACAAAAGAAGGAAACAACTTCAGTTTTTCTATCTTGAAATATTTAATTTGTCCATAGTCCATAAAAGTGACTAGTGGAAAGACAATGAACATAATTTACAGAATTCATCACTTTTTAAGTTGAAATAACGACGATATCTCCCTCATTGTTCCCCAGATAAATGTTTAAATGGTACCGTTGTTGATAGGACCTGTAATGGGTTGATAACTTGAAATTACATCTATCAGTCCTTTAGAACATTTACTTTTGGTTTGAAGTATATTAAGTGTTTATAAGAAGAAAATTAATGTCACGTATCTTGTATGCATGTAACCTTGTACTTTTCAACAGTAATCAATTATTTCATTACTTTTTCATTCAAGATTGAATTCTCTCTCTACCTGATTTAAATGAATTATTGAAAAATATAAATTCATCATATTTATTTAACAATGTAATAGTTTTTACAAAATCGGGATATTTGTCTGTAAGCAATTCCTATGATCCAATTAAAGAGCCTTCGTCCAAACTTATTTCTTTTTGGATCTGCTGGTATTGTAAACGCAGACTCCTCTATTCTTGGTTGGCTTGGCAGTTGGGTATCATAAATACTTTGCTTGGCAGTGGCACCGACGAACCTGAATTTATCAGAATTGTTCATTGAACTTGTATACATAATACTCCGAAATTTAAAGACGAAATTTAGACAATCTCCATGTTCACTGCTCAAATCTCAATTGCAGTATTTTATGTTCATTGAACTATTTAATCAAATATTGAGTCCAAAAGTCGTCTTTATATTTCCAAGTTTTATTTTCACCAATGTATTTCTTTAATCCACCTTTTTAAAATCCTCCAATAATTCATGCCTCAATAATTCATGCCTCAAAACTATTATAATCAACTTTAAAAGACTTCTAAGTAAAAGGTCGTCCATTAATTCGCATTTTTAACGAAACTTTCTCTGATATTTTTTCTTTCATGGTGGATATTTTTCAAACAAAATTCCCATAAATTAATTGAAGAGTAAGATTAATACATTAAGCGATATATTATTTCTTTGCCTAAGATTAAACAAAAGACGACATTTACAGAATAATTATTCACCGTTTATAATATTTGAAATTTCTGGTCCCCTCTCTTCTTCATCGCCTAAAATTCAATTCCATAGAACCCCAGGAAAAATCTTTGACGACATCTGAAAATTTTCACTAACAATTATTGGCTATTTTTAATACAAAAGAGATGCGTAACTTTATCACAAATTCAGCTATAATTCACCAGACGATTCTTATATCCAACAAATGATTAAATAAATTTTAAAATACAAATAAATATCGTTAATTTTAGTTATTTTTTAAGCACAAAACGTTCACAATTGTGTTAAATAACAAAGGTTTTGATGTCGATCGTTCGACTCTCACACAACCAAAATAACCAATGACGTCAAAATACAGCTGTACAGGCGTACACAATAGTCGGATAAATTTCCAACGCCTTGTCTTTATAATTAGCAAAGTCTTTGCAGTTACGTACATTCTGCGTACATATCGAAACCAGTTCTCTCTGGGCGAAATTTGTAAACAAGAATAGAGATGCATCAGTGTTTGATTTTTTTTATGTGTATCTAATGTCAGGCTTTGACATCAGTCTTGTGTTTACATTACCACCCAGAGACAGTACACTGCAGTACAAAAGATGAGCACACCTCTGAAATAACTTTCCTTGCATTATAACCTTGTGTCTGTGTAATTTCTGTATCCCACAACCAAATCAATGACAATTATCAACACACTCTGTTGGAGAGAGAACGCACTTGTGAGGACGCACACTATAGGACGCACACAATAGGACACACACTATAGGACGCACACTATAGGACGCACAAAAGATATGTGGCATACTTGCAACTTTATGCACAAGTCTAAAAATCAAAATTTCCTAGATATTTTTGGATAAGGCTTTAAATTGCACTTTTCAATTCTTTAACCTTTAACATTTCAAGCCTATGAATTCTTTTTGACATGCTTTTGCAGCATAGTTTAATATAAAGGGACAGTAAGCGTAATTTCATGGGAACCTCTATTCAAAGTTGACAAATGTCATTTTTGTATGGAACGTCGCTTGAAATTATAATACTTTTATTAACAGAATGTTTTTTTTCTAACAATTTAAATATTTATAATAAACAATAAAGTAATGATTGAAATGTCAAAGAAAAACAAATTTTGAAAAGTTTCCCCTGGGAATATCAACAACATTTAATTTTAAAATGGAAATAAAGTTTTGACTAAACAGGTGTCAAGTTCAGGCTGAGGTTGGATGAGGAGGGGGCACAATGGAGTATTTAAGGGGGGGGGGGATCAGCAATATTGAATTTACGCCATAAACCTCTGTTTCGAGTCAAATAAGGCTCGGTCGCTTGAGTACTTTTTTTGAGAAGTCTCTAAGTCATTGTAATGACTCTTAAAGTCAGGCGCGCAACTAGGGGAGGGGGCAAGGGGTGCAACACGAATCAGAGCCCAAACTAATACTTTAAAGGGCTGCTGACGCCCCCACATCTTTTAAAAATGGTTGTTTGAATCTATTTTTATATCCTGAATCCTTTGTAACTTTGTGTAAAAAAAGCTATAAAGTTTATTTTTATATTCGAAATAGTTCGCCGAGAAACCCTCTTTAAAGTAAAATTTTGAGACAAAAAAAGAGAGAATACACCTTTTCTTGACTAATAAATCTCATTTCCTATTAGAAAAATGAAAACCAACTATAATGGGAATCCAGAAGGTATTCAATGATAAACCCAAGGATTTTCTTTGTGAAGAGCTGGATTGAGCTGGATTTAACATAGAACTGCATACATAAGTTTTACACAGAGAAATGTATTTTTTTGAGTTTCAATATTATATTTTTTACAAAATTTATTCTTTGTAAAAACTGCGTGTACACTGTACATAATACATAAATTGTTATTTTTCATCATTTCTACATCTTCTGAAGGTGCAGCTCGCGAACAGTCAGCCTACGCTATATGTATAGCCCCTGAAAATCGGGCCAATCTATTTAACAAAGCTCTTCGCTCCTATATATATTATATATGTAAGCTATAACATAGTCAAACGGCTGGACCAAATTGGCTGACATTTTTGAGGAAACCCAAGGGACCCTGGGGTTAACATAAGTTTAAAATGTAATTTTTTCAAAATTCAAAATTTTAGTATTCAAAATTTGATTTTGTTTTTTAAAATTCCACGGGTAAGGCCGGGCACTTCAATTACTATTGAACAAAAGTGTTTTTTTTTGTAATATTAAGATTTTTTTGGATCAGCTAATTAAGCATGCGAATATTTGATAAAATCATATCTGGAGGTGTAATAACTGCTTAAAGTTAAATTGGCATTCCTGGGTTGACCGCGACATATCTGCCTGCTCCAGCATATCCACCATAACCGCGACTGTTCCCGTAGCTACACACAAGTACAATTGCAAGAGGTTCCAAACCATTATACTAGTATTTACTGGCGCTTGCACGTCTTTTTACCGTGCACTTTGAGAAACATCTAATTGTTGTGTTCAGAAAATCAAAAATGACAAAAAGGAAGATTGATATTTTGAGCTTGTTGATCGAATTTTGTTAGAAAATTGATATATATATCAATCCAAAAGAACTGGCTATCGCCCTTTAAGAATTGGAGAGAAAAAGTTCAGTGTCACCTTTCACTTTGATAGAAAATTATAAAACTTTGAAAAAAGAAAATAACGAAAGAAGAGGAAAATACTGAAATCAAAAACTATATTAAAAGCAATTATAATAATACTGATAATAATAAAAGTTTTGATAGAGAACAGAAAAAATTCAAAAAAGTTGAATTTAGTTCACCTGCCATAGCCTCCATAACCACCACCATAGCCTCCACCATAGCCTCCTCCATAGCCTCCACCGTAGCCTCCGCCGTATCCTCCGCCATAGCCTCCACCGTAGCCTCCGCCGTAACCTCCTCCGAAACCTCTGTAGGGTTGGGAGAGGACTGTTACTAGTAGCGCCAGAAGGACCTGTGCAATGAACAGTTTATTTTTTTATTTAAATTTATAATATCTATGATATATCAAAATAGAAATGATGTTTATTGGGACACCCTGTAATGATTCACAACGGTACCTTTAAAAGGAAAACATATATGAATTATCAGAATGAAACCTTTTAAAACCTAAAAAACGACAATTATCTTTAACATTATACTAAATAAAGATTTAAAGGGTTCCTTACTTCTTTTGTTATCAAAAATGAAAAAAAAATTTTGATTAAAAGGAAATAGAAAAAAGGCTTGAATTACCAGAATGGTGTTAACAGCTTTCATATCTGCTGTAGGAGGTGTAGCTACTGGATCAAAGGCCTCTTTTCTCAAACCTTTTATAATTTCTTTCTGAGCCATAGAAGCACTCATCCTAAACTGATTTACAGCCTACAGGGGCATTTTGGCAGAAAAAATAATGGCTCAAAATTGTTGAAAATATTTAAAGTTCTTAAATTGTTCGTTAGTTTCCATAAAAACGTAATTGCATAAAAAAACTTTGTTTATCAACAACTTTTAAGCAGTAGTGTCAATCAATTTTTCTTCATTTTGAGATTTATGACGTTTTTTTTTATTTTGCCCTGAAAAAGAATTGAATCCACCGATTAGATGACAAGCAAAATCCTTTCTAGTTCGTATTTTTACCAACAACAGGTGAAGGTATAGGAGATAAGGCGTAGTTGAATGTCCGATGCTTTGATAGTTTTTAAAAATAAGTTATTTATCTAAAGTATCTAAATGAAATTGCCAAAAGTCTTTAAAAATGTTTAACTTCTATAAAAAGAATTTTATAAAGTTTAAAAAACGAAAATATTCAAATATTAAAACAATTTGTGATATATTCAAGGAAAAAATTTATTTTTGTTTCCGCGTTCGAAATTCGCTTTTAAATGTGTTGGTTTTTAAACAAAGCGCAAAACAAATTGGACGTATGTTTTGATGATTTTAAAACAAACTCTAGTAGTTTTAGAAAGTCTGAGACCGAATTTAATGATTTTGAGTCTCGTCTCAAATCCGCCAAAAACTGGATTTATTTGAGCGCTGGCTTAAATCTTGAAACATTAAATACGATTTTTATTGGAACCAACCATATTTGAGCCGCGGCTTAAAGTTAAGTTGCGGCTCAAATTCTTTAAATTCGGCCTCTGAAACCTTTCTTTTTATTTTATTTGTTTTGAAATTTTATGTTAGAAATGTTTCAGTCTGAAAACTAAGCACAATTAAATAGTCCCTCCTATATCAGGGTTACCCACAAAGGATGCAACTTCAAAGACGACTGTACACAATTTACATTGTCTGTATCCCAATATTTATTATGTTTTGCAACCGTTATATAGTTTCTTTCTTTGCCTAATTATTGAAAAAGATATGAAAACATGACTGTTGGTGCCACAGAACAAAAAGTATTCCATTTCTTGACACAAAACTGTTCATTGAAGATGGAAAAATCACAACAGATCTCTACAGAAAACCCACAGATAGATGTATGTACCTACTTCCATCATCTTGCCACCCAGCACATATTTCTAACAACATACCTTATTCACTTGCATACAGAATTGTACGAATTTGCAGCAAACCAGAACTTAGGGATGCACAATTCTTAAAACTAAGGGATTTTCTTCTCAGCAGGGATTACAATTCTTCAATTGTTCCGAGCTAAAACTATACCTAGAGAAGTTGCTTTAAAGAAAGTGGAGAAAAAGGAGAAACCAGATCGAGTTATATTCTCTATCTCATTTAATCCCCAGCTGCCTTGTATCTCCTCCATCATACAGAAACATTGGAGAACCATGGTCCAGGATCCTTGGATGAAGGAGGTTTTTCAAAATCCACCTATGGTTACCTATAGGAGACCTCCTAATCTCAGGGATAAACTCATCCGAGCCAGAATTCCAGATCCTCCTAGAATGAGGCCAAAGAGGCTAATACCTGGTATGAAACCTTGTGGTTTAAATTGCCCAACTTGTCCCTACATAGAGCCTGGAACAGTTATACAATCCTCTAATACCAGCAAGAAGATTGAGATTAATGGAACTTTCAACTGTAAGACCAGAAATGTAGTTTACTGTATTACATGTGAACACTGTAAACTACAATATATAGGACAGACAACAAGATCTTTAGATGAAAGAATGAGAGAACATATTGGTTACATTAGAAATCTCCATACAAACCAGCCTACAGGAGAACATTTTTACACTAGGACCAAATATAATTATAGTGAATTTTGGATTTTTTATCGTTAGAGCTAGTTTTACCCTAAAGTTAAACCATGTCAGAAAGTTCCGTAGAGACTTATTCCCAATTTTTTAAACTTCTCTTTACAGATTTTTCGGGGTTAGAACTTTAGCCTAATTTTGTTGATGTGTTTACACAGAAAACATCATGTTTACCTGAGCCGGCGATTTAAAAAATTCAAGAAAATACGACTCGGGTCTAAGCTGTTGTTGAGCCTTATTTACGGCTCGGGCTTCCGGATTTAAGTTGCATCTAATTTTCAACAGAGTTTAGTTCATAAAACCAGTTTAATTTTGTATTTGGAGGATTTTCATAGTTGGAATTGGCGCATTCCGGGTTTTGATGAGAAGAAGACCCAACATTGAGCCTTATTCTTCACTAAAACCAACCAAGGTCGGTTTTATTTTCATTGGGCCTAACTCCTTAAGTCGAGCCTAAAATCTCCCAGCTGTCAATCACGTGACACAAGCTGTCGTCATAGTTGGGTCCAAGATTGGGTCTTAAAGTCGGGTTTAAGGAATTACGGCTCGAGCCGAAGTTTTTAAATCGCGGGCTCTGGACATGAACTCTACCATCTAAAAGTTAGCGTTCTAGAGAAGGTTTGGGACCACGGAAGAAGTTTACTTGAAGTACGAGAATCTAAATACATCAGAGATTTTATGACTGAACTCAGAGGAATGAACAGAAAAAAAAATAGTTTTATTTAATTGTTAACTGTAATTCAGTATGTTTTTAAAAAAAGAGTTTTTTATGTCCAATTCTTTGATACATAATACATTCACATTCATTCATTCAGAACTTACTTCCAAGTTGCTTCCTGCCCGCCGGTTTATGTAAAGAAATTTCTCGTTGAAAGAAAAGGGAAAAAAAAGAATAAGCCAGGATTTAGAATTTCAAGCATTTTATTGAAAATTGCAAACAAAATGTTAGAGGTCTTACACTTTATATATCTCGGTTACACTAGACTGGCCGGTACTAATAGAGTATTTAGTACAATTTCATAAGACCGGTCATGTACCAATATAAGCATACAAATAGTACAACTAAACTAAGATTATATGCAGACACAGTGCTTAAGTACCATTTAATGCATATAAGGTGCGATTACTATATAACGCGATTATGTACGCTAGTCGGTACAATCAAAGGCGTATTTAATACGATTGCACTAGTTTGAAAATGAGTTGCACTGGCACATATTGGATATATGTGATTCCGCAGCTTTTTTAGAGAAATGGTTTGCAGGACCAAAAGTTGATCTTCTTTAAGGTTTAACAATTTTACACTTCAGGAGAACATCCAGAATATTTAGTCTTTCTTACAGTGATAGTTCAACAAAATTTAACCATATGAATTAAAATTTTGGAAATTTTTGGGAAAAAAAGATATTTAAATTTTCGAGTCTTCTTTGAGAAATATAGAATTGGTTTAAGTGGCTGTGTAAGTATGTATTGTACCTTCATTAGTAGAGTGGCATGGCTGATTCACAACGGTAACCAGTATTGAGAGTGCATTATATTGGCCACGTGATACAGACAGAGACACATGACCAGTATACTGCACTACTATTGGTGGGAGTTCTGGTGACGTAATAACATTATCAATTATATCTATGAAAAATAAAGATACAAATTATAAAATAATAATTGGAGAAAACCAAGTCACAATTAGGTTTCTCTAGGATATCTTCGTTTTCAGATTGGTTGCATATTTGCTGAATATGATCTGTTTAAACCTACTAAACAAACAATAAAAATAACAGCAGTTTTAAAATTGGCAAAATTTGAATATACCTTTTAGGACGTTTCGCGCCCATCTTCTATTTAAATTGTGAACATGGTCTCTTTGTGTTCATTTTAAAACAAGGAAAAAAAATTTCGCGGATTTTCTAAAAAAAAATTGTAGATTTTCAAATTTTTTAAAATTTAGAAAAATAAAAAAGATGTTAACAAATTTTTAAAATTTTGATCATTCATAAACCTCCCCTTAGACTTAGAGTCACGCAATGTGCTACACAAAGGCTCCGGTCGGTTCAGCCATTTTGACGTTTATTGGATACAAGCAAACAAACACCCAGACAGGCAAGCCAAATTTATATATTTAAATCAAATAATTTGTTTACAACTTCCTATTGTTTTATGCATCTGTTTATTAAAAAAATATATTTCAACTTTTTTTCTTAAGATTTCCCCTTTAAGAATCAATTTTGGGTTGAGATTATGGACTGCGGACTCTAACAGTGGATTAGATGGAAAACCTGAGGGTAAAATTTATCATATTCTTCTACCAGCTTATCCGACATTTTTAAATTGAAATTTTTCAAAATTTCTCAATAAATATTCTTAAAATTTAGCTACGTCAGCCCCCATACAGTTTTGTAAGAAAACTTTGCAAGAGATTAATTTCAAAATTTATCTTTATTTGTTAATGGGATTGTGCATGTAATTTCAGGCTGGATATTTCAATTGGAAAATTTAAAAAATTATATTTTTTTATATTTTTCAATCTTTTTGAACCCTCCTAAGCACCCATAACCATGAAAATAAAAGGTCTAAAGTTGTTAAAATTAGTCTAGAAAATTATTGGACGTGCAGTCAACTAAAGCAAATTGCATTTAATGTTGAAATTATTAATGGGTTCAATCATTACTCCTTTTCCTGAACAGCTGTTGGGAAGAACAACAATGTTTTGAATTTCTAGTATGCTACCACAGTTCAGAACTTAAGAATGGGATAATCTTAATCCCAATCTCTTAATCTGAGTATCTAATGTACACACTTTTGATACGATACGATACACAGATACGATGCTACATCGACTTGACTAATATTCGATTGAACTAAATTCGGCTGTTCACAAGCCGGCTTTTAGATATAAATAAATTTAATCTTGTTTAAATGAACTTATTAGAAATATATTTTATAACATTTGAGGACTATAGTCATTTTGAACGTTAGTCTTAATAAGCATTAATCCAAAACTTACGTTCGTTTAATCGATCATTAGTTCAATTGATTGGACACCACAAATACGGGAAAATTAAAAGTCTCTAGAAATTAATCTCAAGACTAAATTAGTCTGAATATTAGAAAAAGAGAGGATCAAGCATTGATCTTGATATCCTCCATTCTAGAGCGTTCAGCTCAGATCATTTTGTTTCTCTTAAATTTGCGTGTAAAATCCTAACTAGAGGAACCACGAGGTCAAAAGAAAACCTGAGAAATAATTTTAAAAATTTAGAAAAATTACACAAAGTGAAAAAACTCTATTATATTAATTGAATAATAAATTATTGAATTAATGAAGTTTTGAATAAAGTTAGATAGATAGATTGATAGATAGATAGATAGATAGATAGATAGATAGATAGATAGATAGATAGATAGATAGATAGATAGATTGATAGATAGATAGATAGATAGATAGATAGATATGTAGATAGATAGATATAGATAGATAGATAGATAGATAGATAGATAGATAGATAGATAGATAGATAGATAGTTGGATAGATAGATAGATTACTAGATAGATAGATAGATAGATAGATAGATAAATAAATAGATGGATAGATATATAGATGGTTGGATAGATAGATAGATAGATAGATGGTTGGATAAATAGATAAATAGATAGATAGACAGATAGATAGATAGATAGATAGATACATAGATAGATAGATAGATAGATAGATAGATAGATATAGATAGATAGATAGATAGATAGATAGATAGATAGATAGATAGATAGATAGATAGATAGATAGATAGATAGATAGATATAGATAGATAGATAGATAGATAGATAGATAGATAGATAGATAGATAGATAGATAGATAGATAGATAGATAGATAGATAGATAGATAGATAGATAGATAGATAGATAGATAGATAGATAGATAGATAGATAGATAGATAGATAGATAGATAGATAGATAGATAGATAGATAGATAGATAGATAGATAGATAGATAGATAGATAGATAGATAGATAGATAGNGGGGTGGGGTACAGTTTAGTTATTATTGATGACTTTTGTAAAAAGAGACTAATATTGAGGAGTGAGAGCTGAGCTTTATAGAATACATGAACATTTTTCTTAAATCTGGAAATAAGAAAAATTTGTGATTAAAATTGCTGGTACGTATTTGAGACCGCGTAACCCAAGTAGAAGAAAAAGGATATTTATATTTGTTAACATATTAAAAACTCAAACTTCTTCTCAATAAACTATCAAATAAAAAGACGTTAATCTAAACGTTAAATTTTCTATGATTTGACATTACATAACTATGCATCTTGTAGAGGATGAAATCTCCGAAAGAGGTTTATGAAATCCGCAAATCAGTTGTGTCGGATCCTGGAACCAGAGAAGACCTTCTCAAATTTATCTCCTTTTATTCACTCTTTACTTAATATGTATTTTTAACTAGAAGCAATAAATGTTTTTCTAAAATCTATGCAAAAAAAACAACATAAGGATCAACTTTGACAAAATTATGATTCTTCTTTGATCAAATCAAATAATTTATCACTTTTTTTGCAAAGTTTTGAGCTGACTAGACTACACTAAAATATTTGAATTCTTAACTTTGTCAATTTCAACAGTAATTAGGAATTAAAACATAATTAACGAATAAGAACTATGCAAAAATTTAAAATTGAAAAAAATAGGATAGGAGATGTCGTCATTGTTTATTTGTCATTGTAAAGAATAGAATAATTGTATACTTGAAAATCTATTTGGATGATTTGTTTCAATAACAAATTCTAACGAGAAAGCCTAAGATATAAATATAGTTTTTTGTTCTTCAAAAGAAACACAACTAATATGGAAAGCGTGCATTAACAAAAATTCTTTAAGTGAGTTTTTTATGAACTCCTCTTTAAAATACAGGTTAGTGACTCTGATTTTATAAACGTAAAATTCTGCTTATTACTGATTTAATTGGTGTTTAATTCGTAAACAAGGTTCACGGGTACACAATCCTCTTTTTGATTTTGAGAAACCTACAGGGCTTGAAATCAAGTTAGAGTTTGTGTATATCTGTATCTATTATACATTTACAGTAATACCCACTAAAATTGGGATGGGGAAGACGACATTTAAGCAATCTTATGTGTATTTCAGGGTGTTTATATATTATGCATTGCAAAACATGTAGCTGGAAATTAAATGAAATGGTTCTGGGTACATTGCACACTTGCTGTGTTTCATGCTAATGAACTATTTAAAATCATAAATTGAGTCTGACGGTCGTCTACCTATTCCACAGTTGTATAGGGCATTGTTAAGATTTCTTATAAATGACATTTTCAGTCAATCTTTACTTTCAGTACAGTTTATGTCCTTCCACACAACTACCAGACTGATAGAAGATATTCCACACAACTACCAGACTGATAGAAGATATTCCACACAACTACCAGACTGATAGAAGATATTCCACACAACTACCAGACTGATAGAATATCTTTAACTTGTCGATAGCATTACAAAATAACATTTTTTTCAAAAATTACGCACAGAATGTTAGGGATATAAAAAGTATGTGAGACATCCCTAACAATCTGTGAGGTATCCCTAACGATCTGTTCATAAATCGAACAACATTTTTGTAATTACGAAATATTTACGACAAGTTCGATAATTCGAACTACATGTATGTTAAGGTTTCAGACAACAGAGTGTATGTAGCTTGAATTGTAATATAAATATAAATCCATGTATTATGTTAATCAGATTTTAGAGCTATCCATCCTAATCATGGGATTTAGGTCCAAATCCATAATGATTACATGGGAATAAATCCTGGGGAATTTTTATATTCGATCTTATTATTATAAAGTTATGTCTATATATCTTTAATTCTATAAAAATTCAGATGATATTCCTTGTCTCGGCAGCTTTCAAAATTTTATGTTGGAATATTGGTACGAAACGGTTTAAATTTAAGTGTACTGTATTTGAAATGTTTTAAATATGGATTCCTTCCTAATCCTTGTATTGCATGAGAGAGATGATTCACTGGTCACTTTATACACTGACCAGTTTATTAAAATACTTGGACTGGGTGTCCCTGTTATACTGACCAGTTTATTCAAATACTTGGACTGGGTGTCCCTGTATACTGACCAGTTTATTAAAATACTTGTACAGAGTGTCTCTGTTATACTGACCAGTTTATTAAAATACTTGGACTGGGTGTCCCTGTTATACTGACCAGTTTATTCAAATACTTAGACAGGGTGTCCCTGTATACTGACCAGTTTATTCAAATACTTGTCCCTGTATACTGACCAGTTTATTCAAATACTTGGACAGGGTGTCTCTCTATACTGACCAGTTTATTCAAATACTTAGACAGGGTGTCCCTGTATACTGACCAGTTTATTCAAATACTTGGACAGGGTGTCTCTCTATACTGACCACTTTATTCAAACACTTGGACAGGGTGTCCCTGTATACTGACCAGTTTATTTAAATACTTAGACAGGGTGTCCCTGTATACTGACCAGTTTATTCAAATACTTGGACAGGGTGTCCCTGTATACTGACCAGTTTAGTAAAATACTTAGACAGGAAGGTGTGAAACTATAAAATTTAAGATATTATTTATCTCATAAAGATATTGTCTACAAGACGCCTAACTTATTGATTGTACAGGATTAAACAGGAAGGTTGAAATTATAAATGCAAAAAGAAATATTGCAATTTTAACAATAACTTTAGGGTTTTTAGAAAATTGCTCACCCGCAGTCTATGTTTACACTTTCTTATCGTAAGTTTCATTTTTTTGCAGTTTAATCTTTAATGACAATAAAATGTTAGTAAATGTACTGTAATGTTACTAAATAGGCTTAGAAAAATTTTCGTTTTACGTACATCACACCTTATCCTGTTTTATGTTCATAATTTCATAAAGTTTACTAATAGTGTTTTTCATTGAGTAAAGCTTATAAAATTAGTATTACAATTTTTATAATTAGCTTTCAAGTTACAGGATATATACATTTTTTTAAAACATTTTTTGAAAGAAATGTTTCTTATCGTTTAATGCATTTTCGTCTTATCATAATATACGTTTAATTTCTATAAGGTTTTGACTTAGTATGCAAGGTTGGTACGTATGCTCATGTATTCTAGATATTGGTCCTTCTGCTAATGTTATTCTAGATTTTGTTCCTTCTGCTAATGTTATTCTAGATATTAGTCCTTCTGCTAATTTTATTCTAGATTTTGTTCCTTCTGCTATTGTTATTCTAGATGGTGTTCCTTCTGCTAATGTTATTCTAGATGTTGGTCCTTCTGTTAATGTTATTCAAGATGTTGGTTCTTATGTTAATGTTATTCTAGATGTTGGTCCTTATGTTAATGTTATTCTAGATTTTGTTCCTTCTGCTTATGTTACTCTAGATATTGGTCCTTCTGCTAATGTTATTCTAGATATTGGTCCTTCTGCTAATGTTATTCTAGATATTGGTCCTTCTGCTCATGTTAGTCTAGATATTGGTCCTTCTGCTAATGTTATTCTAGATATTGGTCATTCTGCTCATGTTATTCTAGATATTGGTCCTTCTCCTCATGTATTCTAGATATTGGTCCTTCTGCTCATGTTATTCTAGATATTGGTCTTTCTGCTCATGTTATTCTAGATATTGGTCCTTCTCCTCATGTATTCTAGATATTGGTCCTTCTGCTCATGTATTCTAGATATTGGTCCTTCTCCTCATGTTATTCTAGATATTGGTCCTTTTGCTAATGTTATTCTAGATATTGGTCCTTCTGCTAATGTTATTCTAGATATTGGTCCTTCTGCTCATGTTATTCTAGATATTGGTCCTTCTGCTCATGTTATTCTAGATATTGGTCCTTCTCCTCATGTATTCTAGATATTGGTTCTTCTGCTAATGTTATTCTAGATATTGGTCCTTCTGCTCATGTTATTCTAGATATTGGTCCTTCTGCTAACGTTATTCTAGATATTGGTCCTTCTGCTAACGTTATTCTAGATATTGGTCCTTCTGCTAACGTTATTCTAGATATTTCTAGATATTGGTCCTTCTGCTAACGTTATTCTAGATATTGGTCCTTCTGCTAACGTTTTTCTAGATATTGGTCCTTCTGCTAACGATATTCTAGATATTAGTCCTTCTGCTAATATTATTCTAGCTGTTGTTCCTTCTCCTCATGTTTCTCTAGATTTTGGTTCTTCTGCTAATAGGGTAAAATTCCCCAATAATGACGACATTTCACCTCGAAGGTTTAGAATAAAGAATCTTAAATCCACTCAATCCACAGACAAGTTTCTCTCGAAGAGCTATATGTTGAACAAATTGTTATGTTCATATAATTGAAGTAAATGTTTGATATCTGTATATATTANATAAATGTTTGAAAATCTAGATTGAATCTGAGGAACTTGGCACAGGAATATATGTATATTTATATCTATTAGTGTATCCAACCCTTCACATCCGATCCTACCCCGTACACTTTATTGTCGGATTGTTCAGACCCCCTCCCCCCATCTTCTCCTTACTCCCTCCCACTCCCTCTTCTCCCTCCCCCCTTTCCCGATAGATCTTCTTTATCCTATCGCTGGCAAATTAAAAAGGAATGTATAGTCTCCAATCAGTTTCAATGGAATACAATCAAATACGTCTGCCAAGACTAAACAAAACCATTCTTATAATTCTGTAGACTTTCACACTTTTCCCTACTCCCATATGTTTGATATGCTTTCTCCTTAAATGGGCACTCCCTGTAAAGTGACTTATAGGGAGTGTTCACGAAGAATGAGAGGGGGGTATAGGCTTACGGCGAAATATAAGCGCTTTTAATCGGTACTAATCTTTCTTCTTTCTGTTGCGTCTATCATGAGGAAATTGTTAAAAAACGACTCATACCGAAGAACGTAGCGTCCATACAAATTCAGAGAGTTGCAATATCCAACTTGTAAAATAATTAATTTAATTCCAAACAAATCATTAAAATATTACAACCATAAATCATCGATAATCGATAACTTATATAAACAAATCGATAACTTATATAAACAAACTGAACAGTATGTTTAAAAAATGTATTCTTTAGAATAATTTGTATAAACGCGGAAATATCTATATTTTACTGCATGGGGAAATTGTCATCGGGGAAGTTGTGAGTGTGACGAGGGAAATTAGTTATTAGGAAAGTTGTTGACAGGGGAATTGGCTTGGGGAAATTACCGGTGTTAAGCTATTTTCCAGCACAACTTCCCCAACACAATTTCCCCAGTCACAACTTCGCCAATAGCAATTTCCCCAACCGATAATTTCTCCAACACTAACTTCCTCAGTCACTAATTTCCCCAACAGCAACCTCCCCAACAGCAACCTCCCCAACATTAATTGCCCCATGCAGTAAAATCCTATCAGGTAGATTAATGAATTCTTGTGCTGATTTAGGAACTTTTGGTCTCTCAGCAGCAACCGGAAAAGCACTTATGTTTGTTGTTTCTGAACCGAACTGCCTGCAGAATATCAGGGTTAGCCACAGCATTGATAATTTGCTGTTTTGATGACGTTATTAAATTACTTCAGTTCTAAAATGATTTAGTTTTGTCCCTTGACATTGATTGTAGATTATACTCATACTTATTAGGATCCACCAGAACATTTTTCCAAATTTCCACATCTTTCACCTCCCCCAATTTTCCTTCTTTCCACACCTCCCCAACTTTCCCCATTTCCCCCACTCAATTAGCAACTTGATATTTGAAAACATACATATCTCATACTTTTTATTCTACAAAGATTTTAAGGGTACCGTTGTGAATCAGCCATTCCACTCTAAAGATTAAGGGTTACCTCCTAAATTATGTATACAGACCCTTTGATGCAGTTCTTAATTTAAAAAAACTTGAAGGTTTACTTTCTTAACTAAAGAAATCTAATATTTATCAAATATTTCCAAATCCCAAGTTTGTTGACAGCAAACGGAAATTTCCTATCAAAGTTGCGGCCCTGTGCGGAATTACATCGAGAGACAAAAACTTTTTTATAAGGAAAATACATGAAAGGAAAAAATTTAGTTTAGACACGGGCATTACCGGATAACTGATATAATTTTATACTTATGTTTTTTTATCACCCTGGACTGACCTGTGCTATAGGAATGTATTCCGTTTATTTCATTCGAATTCTGTCGTGTTTTGGTCAAAAACTCATCTATGCTAAAACTTACAGAGTAATATTATTCTACTTTTTTATTTTAAACATATCTTAACGGACAAAAAAGTATTAGATAGAAAAACCGTAAAACTTTATGTTTAATGGGTAAGATTGGGATTGAAAGTGACAGCTAGCTGGCATAGGACTGAACCGTTAAATCAGTATAATATAGATATAGATACACGTAGTTCTAGACACGGGCAACGCCAGATATCTGATACAGATACTTTTGTGTGCATATTTACAGGAGTTCACACAAAGTATGAATCATAAAAATCATCAAATCATAAAAAATATCATTTAAGGACTATTTGAAACTGCAAGACTAAAACAAAAATAGTTTTTTTAAAGATTTATGTCGTCGTTAAAGTTTCATTCTTTGTGGGTAACCCTATATAATGTATATAATGATACAGATACTTATATACTTGGACCTAATGGAATCGGAAGCTATGGTTTACCAGAATGGGAGTATAGAGATAAAATGGTATTTGGAATTTATTTTTATATATTTTTACAATTGCCCATCATAGAAAGATGGAGGAAATAGAATGTAGATTTATAGTTTTGTACTTTCATTTTATAGATCCTTATTTTTAGTATAATCCTGAAAGAGACTGTAGACGCAATTTCAAGTGAACCTCCAATTCCATGTATATTTTGGTAATTTATGAATTTGAAAACATAAAAACGGTTGAGAACTCTAAAGTGAATGTAAGCCGTTTTCAGGTTATGGGAAAAAGCACCATTGGAGGTTATATTATAAAGAAAAAGGTGACATAAAACTGCATGTTAATTTGTATAATTCCTAGTCTTGCTCAGCATTAATTATTAAACAGGATTCACAAATTCAAAATCTTGATTCAGATTGGAAAGAACTGTTGAATTAAAATATTTGTTATCTTCAAGATTCCATTTCATGTTCCGTATTTAGTATCGAAAACACGTTATTCAAGTAAGTATATTAAATATTTGCAAATATGAATCAAATTACTGGGAAAGAGATTTTAATTTTTAATCATACTATCCTGATATTTAAGTTATATTAAAATAATCATTATTGAATACAACAAGTTGCAAACTTTTAATTCAGGTAGTCTTTAGACTTATAGACTTTAAAAAAATTGTTAAAACAATATTTCACTATTTTGCTATTCCAACCTGACATTGATTATTAGAATATTGTATAATTCTGAGATCATGTGTAATGATTAATAATCATTGACTATGTGTTTGTATGTATAATTGCGCATCGATCATCATCTATCTCATTTTAGAAATATTGTTATAAAAATTCAAATTCAAGCCAAAAAATAAACGTTAAAAAAATATGTTTGTATGAATTGCGTATATCTGTCACAGTTGTGAGCGCGCGTCCTCAATAGTTCTCTGCGCGTTCATATTGTTAGAGCATATCTTCATTCTGTGTAAGTGCGTCTTATTTTTCGACAGAGATTGTTCCCGGGCTTCCTGAAAAAAATGTGTAATGTTAAATGTCGTTGGTATCTTCTAATGCAAAGCCCCCCCCCCCCCACTCTGAAGAAAAAAGTTAAACATCTGATTACCGTGTCCCTTAAAAGTAGTGTTAAATATTTTGAAAACACACATAATAATCAAATTTTCTAAGTTGAATTTAGGATCAGAACTAACGCTTTATGCGACTGTAAGCGTCATGCAAAGATCACATGCGAAATTTACAACAATACCCTTAAAAGCTGTATTTAATCAAATATGAATTAGATATCCACATTTTTGTTTAATCATTTACATGCTCTCTGCAAAATTGCGCATTTCTTGCTGAAAAGAAGTAATGGAGGAGATTTTATCATAAATTAACACTTTTCGAGGCGTAGCCATCTTTGCATGGAAGGTCACTAAAAATTACGCCTATAGTCCCTTAAAGATGTTCCTGAGAGCTATGACTCTTATTGAAAAGCTAATTCCACACAGATCCAGGCATGTTATGAAAACTTGCATCAATTTTTTAAGTCTGGGCTGACTTTAAAGTGTCGCAACGCATTTGGCCTGAGGTTTTACCGAGCATTGACACACTTATACTATACTTGTAATGTATAGCCCTAGGGAACATATAGTGCACTTGTTTTAAGCTTGCGTTTTTCAAGAAATAATTGGCATAATTCTCGACAATTTTTGCGTGAGTGCTTGCAACCTTGTGATCCATGGTATGAGTATTTTTAAATATCTCTTTATATATTCAAACACTTAATCCTGTTCCAATCCTATTTAATTCTGTCTAAGCTAAGTTAATGATACAGTTAATTCTGGGTTTTATTACAGTTTGTAAAGAAATCTAATTATTAGGTTTATAAACGTATTTTATGCTGATTTTGTGTCGTAAATAAGTTCAAACCAGGGAATTTAATCTACATGTCAGTACCCCTTACCTTATCAATTATGTGGAAGATATCGTTATTTTCTTAGCTTGATCCTTTAGTTGATAAATTATAACAATTTCCTGCGTAAATACAGCACAATTCATCATTATAGACAACCACAATTGAAATTAAATAATTAAATAGTGAAAATATATTATAGAATTGCTGCATTAAACATGCAAAATACAAAGTCATATACATGCATTGCACGCATGTTTTATACAAACATCATTTATAATATGTATTACATATATGCAATACTTTATGCTAATAAACAGTACGGTACAATAAACAAAAAACTGAAGATCCGGACCGCCTTAAACTGCACTGTATTAACCCGACGTGATAGTTTTATCATCCCTTACTTTGTTTATTTTGCCTAAATGTACATATGGTGTACATTAAACAGTACAATGTGTATATATATGTGGTGTACACTGTACAATAAACAATTTACATGCATGGCGTACACTATAAGTGTACAATGAACAATGTACATACATGGCGTACACAGTAAGTTTACAATAAACAGTGTACATACATGGCGTACACTGCAAGTGTACAATGAACAATGTACATACATATGGTGTACAGTGCACATTTCGCAGAGCAATG